CCTATGCTGTGCTCAATTCATTCTCTAAAGCACTGTGAAGTTGATAAAATTGTCCAAATTATGGAAAAACATTGGTGGGGAAATTGCCACTATATAGCCAAACCAGTCTATGTACAATGTCAAATAAGTCAAAAGAACAATCCAGGGAAGCCCATGATGGCATCAACAGGAGAATTTCCTCCACCTCTAAGTCAGTGTTGGAATGGAGATAAATACTGTACATGTAGAAACTTTTGAAATGGTGTATCTTTGACTATGTATATCTTCACCAAAAAAAAAACAAAAAACAAAAACAGGTCAAGAAAAGAGAGGGTTGACAACTTCCTCTCTCTAGGGGACATAAGTTTGTCTTATAATGATTTGTATGTACTCTCATTTGTTTGAAGCTTATCCCTGTCCCCAAGCAACTGCTACCTTTGTTGCTAAGAAGGTTCTAGAGAAAATCATACCATCATGGGGTACCTACTCCACCCTCCATGGTGATAGTGGAATGCGTTTTACTGGACAGGTTATTAAAGAAATTTACAAAATCTTTCCAATCACTCGATTTTTTCATACTCTATATCATCCCGGTTCTCTGAATTAGTAGAACGTGCCAATGGAATTATTAAACAATGGTTGATCAAATAGTAACTGAGAGCCTAGAGATGCCATGACCTAAAGTACTTCCTTTGGTGTTATCAAATTTTAGATCCTCTCCATTTGGAAAACACAAGCTGTCTCCTCATGAAATAGTCACTGGCTGACCTATGCTCTTAAGTCACATTACTTACACTGATCCACGCATTGTTAATGCAAATGTCCTTAAGTATTGCAAAGGAATGATGGCCTATTCTCAAGCTTGTGTCTCACAGGTAGAACAATCCTTCATGGACAAACATCTTGAGGCTCCTGACTTCTGTGACCACAGCCTGAAACCTGGGTACCTAACCAACTGGAAGATTTTCAGCTCCAAAACCTTAGATGCTCTCTGAAGCGACCATTTAAAGTGTTGCTGGCAACCAGTTCACAGCCAAACTCAACAGCATCACCCCACGGATACACATGAGTCAACTTAAACATGCACCTCCTGATCATTAAACAAGTACACCAGCAGGTGACCTCAAACTTTACCTATGCTGAGGTCACCCAGAAGCTGATGACTGTGAAATAAGACAGCTAATCCCAAGATCACAGAACAAGACCTCATGAATGTTGTTAAATTTTATGGACTTTGCCTAGTGTTTGTAGCTATCCTTATACTATTAACCTTATTATATACCTGTGGTCTTATATCCTGGTAGTTTTATTCCACATGAAAGTCCATTGAAGCCTTATTCTTTTATTCCTAAACAATTTCTTCTAATGCTTGGAAAGGAAATGCATTTGTTAAATTAGTCCATTCCATAGCTAGTGCAAGCAATTTAACCGAATGCTGGCTCTGTCATCCCCCTCCACAATGTGGGCATGAAAATTCAGACTCATTAGCATTTCCTATGTTAATTTACAGTCTTGTACCCAACGCTACTGTTAACTTCAACATTACCTTTAAATGAGTCATACATTTAAAGACTTGGCTTCCCCCTGGATTGTTGGCCCAACCTCAGATACCATGCTTTAATGTAACTCAAATCATAAAGAATACAGAATTGCTCTGGGGTGAAAGAAACCTTTCCATATTACAGTTGACAAAATGATCTTCCAGTCCAATATGCAGATACCCCTAGATACTGTATGAATTTATTAGTACAAGCAATAAAACTACCAGATTTCCTAAAGGGAAATAAAACAGATTTAAGTAACTTGTCCTCCCTCTGTATTAGACTCTGAAACTCACTAAGGATGAGACACTTGTCTGTTTGTAATAATTCTTTAACAGAAAATTGGCTTAAGTAAGTCAATCAAACCATTTGCTTCCTACACAATTATAACAGAAGTAACATCATCTATGCTACTTATCAGTATGTATTTTGTGTGAAGTATCAAATTATTCCACAATAAAGGAACAAAATCCAAGTGACGAATCTCATGTCTGAGCATTACCCAGCTTAAATAGCTGGAATATGACGGGTCAATGCATCTTAGGTCTTTTAGGAGTTCTTTAGATGTTCACTCCTATAATGAAGCTATACACTGGGCTAATGATTTAAAGAGCCTCATTAGGAAAGACTTAATGCCACAACATAATTCAGTAGCCAAAATACCTAGAATGGGATGGTATCCCTCAGAGCACTTCTACCCTACAATGGTATTCCTCTCCATCCTTAGATGCAAGGATGGCGAGACTTTCTCTCACATACTTCAGACGTGCATCAGGAGGGACCAGTCCCTTGAGAAAGACATCATGTTTGCTAAAGTAGAGGGCCAACAAAAAGAGATGAAAACCCTCAAAGAGATGGATTGACACAGTGGCTACAATAATGGGCTCAAACACAGTAACAATTGTGAGGATGGCTCAGGACCAGGCAATGTTTCTTTCTGTTTTACATAGGGTCTCTATGAGTAAAAGCTGACTTGATGGCACCTAACAACAAACAACGACATGGTATTCCTCAGTTTAAAAAATCTATTCATAATTTTTCTGCTAAAGTGGCTCAAATTGCTGAAGATATTGCAGATGGACTGTCAGCCCAACAGAAATCTTTAGAATCTCTTGTTAAGGTTATATTAGATAATTAGATAGCAGTTGATTTCCTTCTAGCCCAACAAGGAGGAGTTTGTGCCGTTGCTAATACCTCCTGCTGCACCTAGACAAATACCACAGGAGAAGGAAAACAAGATATTTGAAAAATTCAGCAGAAAGTCACTTGGCTACATTCAATACCTCCTATGCCTGACTCTCCCATTTTAAAGATATCTTTAGTTGGTTACCCGATGATTTTGGTTCCTGGTTGTGCTCCACACTACCAACCAGGTCAATAATTTTGATTGCTGTAATAATTATTGTAGGTCTTATTAAATGTTGTATAAAATGCCTGTCTAATGTTTGTAACCAAACTATAGTCCCTGTCATGGATTGAATTATGTCCCCCCAAAAATGTGTATCAGTTTGCCTTGGCCATGATTACTGGTACTGTGTGATTTTCCTATATGTTGTAAATCCTGCCTCTATGATGTTAATGAGGGAGGATGGGTGGCAGTTGTGTTAGTAAGGCAGGACTCAATCTACAAGATTGGATTTTTGTCCTGAGACAATCTCTTGAGATATAAAAAAGAGAAGTGAGCAGAGAGACAAGAGGACCTCATAGCACCAAGAAAGTAGTGCCAGGAACAGAGTGTGTCCTTTGGACCTGGGGTGCCTAAGAGGAGAATCTCCTCGTCCAGGGGAACATTGATGAGAAGAAGGCCGATGAAGGCCGACAGAGAGATAAAGCCTTCCCCTGGAGCTGGTGCCCCGAATTTGGACTTCTAGCCTACTTTACTGTGAGGAAATGAATTTGTCTTTGTTAAAGCCATCCACTTGTGGTATTTCTGTTATAGCCGCACTAGATGACCAAGACAGTCTCCCTTGCTATGCACTGGGTTACGTATCTTGAAGAAACAAATTTCTTAGAGGAGAATGATCTCACGTCTTATGTTAGTTTTTTTGGATGTTAAGTTGTCCCTTCAAATGTGGCCTAGCTCCACACATACCCCAACTGGAAGATCATAGAAGCAAAGTGTCTCAGCTATGGCATAGTGAAAAGTTTGATGAAAGATCCTACTTATAAAAAGATCAATCCAACAATAATTCCATACAGAGAAAAACATTCTTACAATGGTCATCAAGAAATCTCTACAGAGATTCATGATCAAAAGAGGGAAGTGTGAAAGAACACTCTAAAACTGAGTTGCTAGACATAACTAAAATGTCTGACACAGGTATGAATTGGACTCCGTTTTGTCCTAAGTCCTGCTTTTGCTATTTAGAGTACATGACCCATTGACCGTACTCTTGAACAAGACAACATATTTGGCAACTTTCTGAGGTGGTCCACCCAAAATATTGCAGGAAATAGAAGGAACCAGCTCCAGACCACAGGAAACAATGACTTTGAGTACCACAGCCAATAGAAATTCTTGATATATAAGTCTTATGAGAATATGTTGAATGTCAACCAATCAAATGAACCCTTGTACTCTTCCCAACTCTGTAAAACTACACTTGAGTATAAAAGATGTGTGCTTATGCTACCTCTCTGGAACACCAATTTGAACTTTCATTTTGATGCTTCTCAATTTGCAAATATATGAATCTGAATAAAACTCTTATTTTACATAAACTCTGTTTCATTTTTAACACCCCAAATTCCTCCATCTTATAATTCCAACTCCCCACGCATCTGCCAATTTGTCATACTGTCGGGGCTTGCATGTTGCTTTGTCCCACATACTTTGAAAATGTTATCAGGTGGGACCAGTCCCTGGGGAGGGACATCATGCTTGGTAAAGTAGAGAGTCAGCAAAAAAGAGAAAGACCCTCAGTGAGATGGACTGACACAGTGGCTGCAACAATGGGCTCAAATATGGCAATCATGTGGATGGTGCCAGACCTGGTAGTGTTTCTTTCTGTTGTACATAGGGTCTCTATGAGTTGGAATCAACTCGATGGCACTTAACAACAACAATAATTCCAATATATTAGGTATAGAAACTAAAAAAAAAAAAAAAAAGCATGATTTTCCTGTTTTGATCTTGTAGATGCTGATGCAGAAAAAATATAAAGAATTACTTTTGGAAAACTGGTTTGTCAAATGAAAATTATCTCTTAGTTAAGTTTTCCAAAACCATTAAGAAAAAGAATACATACAATTATTTTAATATTATTATAGTATTTTGTTGCAATGTATTTGTTTTATAAAAATTTAAGCTTTTGTTTTCTTTAAACCAATTAAAGCACTTATATTCTATTAATCAATATGAGGACTTTAAACATGACTCACGAAAACCAATCAAAATTCTGAAAAGAGTCGTTAGAAGATATTTCAGTCTTAAATTGAAAGTCTACAGCATATTTATTACAGCCGAGCTGAACACATTACCTTTGTTGCAGCATCAAAGCAGATAAATCCTGTGCTGAAGTCAATAGTGAGTCCCATTAGATGACTTTCTAGCACACACGCATAAGTCTTGCACTGGACAGAACAGAAAAAGTGTTAGTATAAGTGTGATTGAACCACTGTCAATGAGAATAGCCAACATTTATCAAGGACTCTGCGACAGCTCCTTCAATAAGCACTGCATGCAATATATAACTCAATACCAACATTATATTGTATTGTATAAGGAAGACAGTGTTATTATCATTTTATTGTTAATAAAACAGAAGCTTAGAGGGATTTTTGATACTTTCAAGTGGTGTGTGGGGCCCCGTTTCCACTCCATTCCATCTGAACCATGTCTTTCTGTTGTACTGCTGTATCCCTTTGCTATACTTGTAATCAAACAGCTATAAAAAAATTAGGTGTAGGCAAGAGTATGTTAAGTTGTTATATCCTGTAGTCAAATATCACCATATTAAACCAGAGGAGGATTATTAAAGATTGAGATCTAACTGAAATTCCTGGCATGTAATATTAAAACACGTATTTTATTACCTAACAGTTTCATGGACATTTTTAAAAGAAAACTCTCAGGCACACAGAAATAGAATCAGCAATCAAGAAAAAGAATACAAGGGATATCTTGATCGTTAGTCTCTATATGTTCTTCCTTGTGGTGCAAACTACTTCCCAAAGACATTTACCACTTGCCTCTTTATTTGTGTAAACCTGTTTCTTTAAAAATCAACAATACAATTATTTTTTAAAAAATGAGACCAGGTTATACTATAATTTTACTTATATAAATATTTTGAAAAAAATACATATGAATACTTAAATAAGAAATAACAGGATATTATACACATACACTAGAATCATGGGGTTTATATACAACATGATGTATTATTGTTTCCAGAGGGCAATTTGATTTGCATTTAATTGCAAACTAAGGAGGGATACTCAAATGATGAAAACTATTTATAATTTACTTACAATCTTAGTGTATGTGTGTGTGTGTGAAGGTGTCATATCTATCTCAATCAGATTTTCAATGCCAATTCTTACATGGTATTTATTTTTACAATACTGTATGTAAAGTAAATTGCATGCATCACTTTCTGACTATAATCAATGCTAAATACATCAAAGTTGCCTTCACCAAAAACTATATTCACATGTTCAGCTTAATTTGCAAAGGAAAAATTATAGCCCTGCAAAATTACCCATTTGGAGTTAAATCTTGCAAAAAATAGGTAAGAAAATACATTTCATAGGCCTCAAAACTTTTTTGGATATAATTACATTAATTTAATAATGGACATCTTACTTGCTTGCATTCATATATTATTACCTTATTAAAACTACTATCAACATAAAGGAATGTTCAAAGTTATATAATTTCTGACTACTATAGACTGAATTGTTTGCTATTTTCAAATACACTATAGATCAGAAAACATTACAAAAATATATAAAGAATTAGATTAGGAACTAGAAAATGTTAGTGCGCAGTTCCACTAATGAAGATCAGTTTCATAACTGAAGTAACTTTATTTATTAATTTACTAATTGTATTTGTTAATTCATTAATTATATTTTTTCCTGCCTATTTCACATTATGACATGTATCCCCTCTTTATTTTATTTTCTTCTCAGATAATACCAGAAAGATGTTTCTCTCTGTTTTAATGCTTATGCAAAGACATTTGACTGTGTGGATCATAACAAATTATGGATAACATTGTAGAGAATGGGAAATCCAGAGCAACTTAACTGTGCTCATGAAGAATCTGTACATAGACCAAGAGGCAGTCGTTGGAACACAACAAGGGGTTACTGTGTGCTTTAAAATCAGGGAAGGTGTGCATCAGAGTTGTAGCCTTTCACCATATTTATTCAATCTGTCTGCTGAGCAAATAATCTTAGAAGCTGGAGTATATGAAGAAGAACAGGGCGACAGGATTGGAAGAAGACTCACTAGTAACCTGTGATATGCAGATGACACAACCTTACTTGCTGAAAGCAAATAGGACTTGAAGCACTTACCGATGCAGATCAAAGTCTACAAACTTCAGTATCCCAACATAAGGAAAACAAGAATCCTCACAACTGGACCAGCAACATCATGATAAATAGAGAAAAGATTGAAGTTGTCAAGGATTTCATTTTACTTGGATCCACAATCAATGCTCATGGCAGCAGCAGTCAAGAAATCAAATGATGTGTATTGCATTGGGCAAATCTTCAGCAAGAGACCTCTTTAAACTATTGAAAAGCAAAGATATCACTTTGAGGACTGAGGTGTGCTGACTCAAGCTATGGTATTTTCAATTGCCCCATATGCCTGTGAAAGCTGGACAATGAATAAGGGAGACCAAAGAAGAATTGATGCTTTTGAATTATGATGTTGGCGAAGGATATTGAATATACCTTGGACTTCCAGAAGAACAAACAAATCTGTCTTGGAAGAAGCATAACTAGAATGCTCCTTAGAAGCGAGTATGGCAACACTTCATCTCATGTTCTTTGGACATGTTATCATCAGAGACCAGTCCCTGGAGAAGGACATCATGCTTGGTAAAGTAGAGGATCAGCAAAAGAGAGGAACACCTTCAACAAGATAAACTGACACAGTGGATGCAAGAATGGGCTCAAGGATAGCAACAATTGTGAGGATGGTGCAGGACCAGGCGGTGTAGGATCTCTATGAGTTGTAATTGACTTGATGACACCTAACAATAACAACAACCAACTTTCATGGTAATGAAAATATTGAGATAAGAGAAAAAAACATAAGATGTTTCAGGTAAATAAATGCACATATTGTATTTTAAAAATAACACTACCAAAGTGCTCGGCCATTCATTACTAATTTCTGATACAGTAAAGAAAGATATATTATAAAATCTACAAACCAATCAACAGTCAAAAAGGCATTATGTGTTTCGATATGCTATCACCACATGACATCTTAAACCCAAATTCTTCATACATAAAGACAAAGTCTTTAGTAGTATTGCATTGCACAGGACCTTCACTTAGAGAATATGAAGCCCAGATTCTAAGAACAGTATTAAAATACAGAGAAATATTGTAATCTTATTTCTAACTCATTTCTAAATGTCATGAGATTGATGAAATGAAATCTTAAATTGGGACCAACGTGCAAAAATTTCCATGGAGTTGTTACTAAGTGAAGTGGAATATTCCAGTGACAATAATAATTAGGAAAGCTTATGTCTAGTAATATAAATAATAAAAACTGAACTCTCTTTCCATTAAATTATTTTTTAATGCTTTAAAATGGTCTTAGATGTTGACACTTAGAATAAAATAATATTTAAAGTATTTTCCATCTTTCCATTTTTGATAGTAAAGTATCTATTTTACTGAACTGAGATTTTATACAACTAAGGTATTGAAATTGTGTTTCTCAGCTACTTAAACATTTCTAGACATATGAACCTTGTGTCAGAGCTAACAGAAAAGGTCAACTGAACAATGAAACAGATGACATTCAAGTCTCCTCTGTGTCCTCCTCCCCTGACTGTCATGTCGTAGTGATGTCTCTTTACTTGGGGACCAGGGAGGTTTGTTGTAAGAAAAGAAAGATATAAACATACCTTACAAAATATGTTTCACATGTTTACAAACATACGTATCCAAATCTCCTGTTATAGGCAAGCATTCTGGGATATCCCAATGCTACCATATCATCATAGTTCTATTCTCAAAATCAAGAGTTCATGTGTCTATTCACGTTTTGGCTCTGTGAATCCAAGTGCATGAGGCAAGTGCACCATTTCCATTCGGTGTGACCAGAGGGTAAAGGTGTGAACCTGTATTTGAAGAACATGTTTCAGGCCATGATCCTGCAAATTATAGAGGCTGAGGGATGTATGAAGTGCAATCTAGACATGACTTCATAGTTAAGAAATATATTTCAACAAATATTTATTAAACATCTCTTATGTGTGAAATACACAGTAATTCGGCTGGCATAAGAATGAAAAAAATAATCCTGAATAACCTATAATTTAGTGTAGGAAATGACATGCCCACAAGTTACTCCAATATAAAGAGAAGTCTGATTAGACATAGGAAAATAGACAAAGAAAAGTGAGCCTGGTATTCAAAAGTGGTGAGAGGAAAGTTTGCACTAAGTTGTGAAAGGATTCATGGTAAACAGTAGATTGAAAATCAGGAATTTTCCTAGATGATATGACCTTTGACAAAGCTTCAAATACTGTGCATGACCTTGAAGGGAGGGGATGAAGAGAAGTCTTCTAAGAAGAAGGAGCAGAGTGAGAAAAGGGAGGCATTCAGGCAGGAATCTGGGGATGATGATGAGACAACAGGAAATTGCCTGGTAAACAATGAGTTTAAAACAGAGCATTTCCTATAGTAGATTCAAATTAGAGCATTTTATAATTAAAATTAGAAATATATTTTTGATGAGTGGCAGGAAATAGCCTGGAGAGATTAAATTGTGAAGATATTAAAATTTAATTCAGAGTTGTGTTACTACTCTTTTTATAACAGTAGCTAATTATCAAATGTGTCTGAGAAGGAGGGCAAGACTAGGATAACTAGTTTTACACTGATTTGAATTTATATTAAAACTTTAGAGGAATGGTCACCGACCTCTGGCACCACAGATCCTAAAACTGCACAGACCCTCACCTGTATCCGCTCCACTTCGAGGAAGGTTGCTATCTGGAAGGCTCGCTCCCACTGTGCAAGGTCACAGTCAAGCTCCACGGAAAAGTAGAGGTCCTCCCCGCACTCAGACTGCACGGTGAAGCAGTGTTTCCGCTGGTCCAGCAGGTCACTGTCCTGAGGAAAGCCTGGGGTTACACAATCTGGCATACAACAACTCATACCGTGAGCTTAGCAAACCATCAATCACGTGGACCGAGTCACAAGAGAGATTCACATTCATAAAGATAAGACTCTGTGACATCACTAAACTTTGTTACAAATGGCTAAGGCAACCAAAAACTCAAGCGTCAAAATCCATAGCTAACACATTTCTCCTCCGTATTCACATCAAAGTACGTCAATAAGACTTAAGTTAGAACATTTAGCTTCAGCTCTTACTAACAATGTTACTACCAAATCATTTAACACAGGAGACTGATTTTTAATCTATATGATGGGATGACACAAAATCTCCCCTCTTCCTTACACAGTTGCCATGATGATAAAATTAAATTGTGCATATGAATGTGTTTGAAATTTTAAAGAGCATGTTTGTTTGTTTGTTTTATTCAGGGACTTTGCAAACCTTAAAAGGATCATCAAACTATTCTTCTACACTAGAAATTAAAAAAAATGACTCTTACTTGTGCACATTAATTTTATTACTTTTTTAAATACATATTTACCTTACCTACGTAACTCTAGTTCTTTGAGTCAAAAAGCCTCTGACATTGGCAATTTGTTAGTCTTACCAGAAGTTTTAAACTAAAGTGCCCACACATCTACATGTGCACCAATTTCAGAAAAGTTAAAATGTGGGGAAAAAAATAGCTAAGAATTGATTAAATAGGATAATCCTACACAGTATGTCAGATATAGTCTTTAAAATATATATACAACATAATTAAAATTGTCAAAAGGATAATCACGGGTGTCTTCAATCATTTTCTTATAAAAAGGTGTATATATATTGACAAATGATCATTCATTAAACACCTAGCACGTCAGAAGTAATTGCCTATTTTGTCAAGTGCTTTGGAAATGATAATTATTTTATGAAAACAGCAAAATCTCCTTATTTCCTACTTGGATGCTTAAAAGTCAGTTACTCCAAGTGTTGTGGAATACAGTTCTGTGGCTCCCTTCCAGGAGATGTTCAGAAAGCCGGAAGGAAGGCCCACTCTCCTGGTACTCATTGATGTCCCTACTGTATATTACAGGGGGGAAATGAAAGAGAAAATATAACATCTATGTGACTACAGACCAGTGACAAGCAAATTGTAAAGTATTTTTTAGTAATTTGGAGCTTGTAATATCTAGATGTAATATCTAGATATTGAGACGGATTGAAATAGTGGCTGTAACAATGGGTCCAAACATAGCAACAATTTTGAGGATGGTGCAGGACTGAGCAGTGTTTTGTTCTGTTGTACGTGGTTGCTGTGAGTTGGAACCAACTCACAACACCTAAGAACAACACAGTATCTAGTGCGAGTGATATAGCTAGATGTTTAATAAATAATCACACAAGTAAATATGCCACTACAAAGAATTACAAGTGTCATTAAGAAAAGTGTGTTATTATATCAAAATAAGTTAGGAAGCCAGGGAAAGTCCTTTTAGTAAGTGCATTTGAAACAGTTTGCTGAAAAGTGAATAGAACGTAAAGGTTAACAGTGGAGGGAAGAGTGTTCCTTCCAGAGAGAGAAAAACTTAAAACAAGAGTGTGTTGTGTATGCATTCAGAAATCCCAAGAAAACATAGAGAAGTGTTATGAGAGGAGGCTAGGTAAGTAGTCAGGGTTATTAGTCAGTTTAAAGTTCTGGATTTTAACATAAGTGTAAACAGAAGCAACTTATCAAATATTTTAGCAAATATCTGTTCTATTTATATTGAAGGTATTTCAACTTCTGTATCACCCTTTTAAATTGATAACATTGGCACAAAAATTTATAACTACACACAGAAGAATTTCCAGAAACTTTGCCAATTTTTTGACTTATTATATTGGTCTTAACTTTCCTGATAATATGAAATGTTATCCAATCTCATTACTAGTCAGAAAATTTCAATATTTTTCCTCCTTATGAATTACATGTTAAAAAGGAATCTTCACTTAATATTTTCAGTTCTCTTAGCAAAATTGTACTCTATTGCTCTTTTAAAACACTATTTACTTTCTTTTATTACATAATCTAATTTTAGAAGAGAATTCTCTAACCTACTCTACAAATACAATTTCAAGATCTATGAATACTTGCAGTCATTTACTGTTGTTATTCAGATGGCATTTCTCATGTGCATGCTGCCTCACACAACAAACTGCTATGGTGATCTGTGCCTAGGAGCCTCACAGCTTAGTGAGGGAGACAGACAGGTAAAAATAATACAAGTCATTATGACAGGGCTATTGAGTTAGTCCTAAAGAAATGGAAGGAGCAATAAATCATCCTGAGAGCAAGCAGAAAGGAACAAGTTTTATTCCACAAAGGAATGGTAGTATCATGGACACAGAATCACAGATAAATTAGTCTCAAATGGCTAATTAATGTGTAGGGAGATGAGCCAGGAATGATACCTGACTTCAAGCCTGGAAGAACGAGGGTATCCTGGTAAGAACTCTACACATATGCCCCTGCCCCTAGAACCACAGGAAGATGTGAGTCAGAGAAAGGCAGGACTAACTGCTGTAGACAGAAGAGCAGTAACGGAGAGGAGGACCTGCTAACAAAGCTGCAAGCAAGATCCATTTTCAGAAGCTTATGAAAAGTGACTACACACCAAACATTGTAGCATAGTTTCTGGCATAGAGTAGTTCTTAATTAATGTTAGGTATTTCTATCATTAATGTTGAAATTCAGGAAAATAAATATGAATGTAATTCTCTAATCTTTCCTTCTTTAACTTGCTCTCCTTACACATGTTTACCTTTTGCCAGAGTGTGAGTTTTGCCCGAGTAGAAACAATAAATTTCAGAATGCTTTCCCTTATTGGAAGGTATCATTCAAAAATAGCTAAAATAATAATAATAACATAGCTAAACGTATCTTGAGCACTGTTGTGAATAGAGGATACTCTTCAGAAGTATCCTCTGTTTTGTTAGATTTATTCTAATCCCTTGGACACTTTCTGTACGTCAATAACCACATGCTGCTACAGAGGATTTCTGGCCACATGGTGCTCTAGGCGGAAGTACCGTGCCTTCCCTCCACAGCAAAATACGAAAAACTAAGCCAAACAGAGAAAACAGCAATCCTGAAACCCTAAACATCAAATGAAGAGATAAAGAACTCAGCTAAGCACCAAATGGAATAAGAAACTGACAGCGATCAGAGAGCAAGGAGACATACATGGAGAGGTCCCCTATCAGCTAATGCAGCACGGATCCACCATCTTGGACACCTAACAGAGAGCAGCTAATAGGGGGTAAGAGAAAGCAGCTTCATGGAGCTTCCAGCAGGAGACAGAACAACTGGTAAATGGTGATATATGCTTTGCCACACCCCATCCTTCTTCACCCCCACTTAGCCTCCTCTTCCTCCCGTGGCCACAGTCTCTTGGCTGGGAGGCACTGGCTGCTTGGATTCCACCCATCTGCACTGGTCTACTCCCTGAGTGCCATCTGTTGGCTGCTGGTGTTACTTTTTTCTGCTTCTTTTGATTTCTTCCTTACCTCATACCAACTCAAATACCTGGCTCAGTGCACCATCTTTGCTTCTTCCTGAGGGGCTGTGGAGCTCTGTTCGAGTGTGGAACTTCATCCTGGTCTGTGGTGCCACGCTGGTGGGATCCTGGGGCTAGTTTTTTGTTTGTTTTCAATTGTTTGTTTACTTTTTCTTTTTTTCTTTTTATTGTACTTCAGGTGAAGGCTTACAGAACAAAGAGTTTCTCATTAAACAGTAGTACATATGTTGTTTTATGACACAGGTTAACAACCTCACAACATATCAACCCTCTAACTTCTCTTCCTTTTTTTTTTTTGGTGACAATACAGATAGCCAAAGATACAACATTTCAAAAATTTCTACAGGCACAGTTCAGTGACATTGACTACATTCTTCCAATTGTGCTGTTATTCTCACTTAGAGGCTTACAGATCAAAATAGTTTCTCATTTAACAGTTACTACAAATGTTGACCTATAACAATGGTTAACAATATCACAACACATCAACAATAAATATCCTTACTCAACCTTGGGTTCCCTATCACCAGCTTACTTGTCCCCTTCTGGCCCTTGTCACTGAACTGCACAGCGTTAGTCTCATTTGGTTTTACGGGGCTGTCCACACCCAGGCTGAACAGTGAACCTCGGAGGTAACTTGACCACTGAGCTAAAAGGGTGTCTGGGGGCCAAACTCTCGGGGTTTCTCCAGTCTCTTTTAGGCCAGTAAATATGGTCTTTTTTTTTGTGTGTGATAAAATTATGCTCTACATCCTTCTCCAGCTCTGTTCAGAACCCTCTGTTGTGATCCTGGTCAGAAGAGTCAGTGGTGGTAGCCAGGCACCATCTAGCTGTACTGGACTCAGTCTAGTGGAGGCCTTGGTAGCTGTGGACAATTGGTCCTTCGGACTAATCTTTTCCTTGTATCCTGTTCTCTTTATTCTCCCTTGCTCCTGAAGAGATGAGACCAGTGGAGTATCTTAGATGGCCGCTCACAGGCTTTTAAGACCCCAGACACTACTCCCCAAGGTAGAATGTAGAGCATTGTCTTTATAAGCTGTGTCATGCCAATTGAGCTAGATGTTCCCCAAGACCATGGTCCCCAGAGCCCTCCACCAACAGTTTAGTCCATCAGGGAGTTTGGATGTGTCTATAGGACTTCCATGACCTTTCCTTGTACAAGTTGTGCTAGTTTCCCCTGTATTGTGTACTGTCTCACCCTTCACGCAAGATACCAATATCTATTATCTATTTAGTATTTCCCCCCCACCCCTCCCAACCCTGGTAAACAACAAAGATCGTTACATTTTGTGTGAGAACTTTTTCATGGGTTTTTACAATAGAGGTCCCATACAATATTTGTCCTTTTGTGATTGACTTATTTCACCCAACATAAGGTCCTCCAGTTTCATCCATGTTATGAGATGCTTCACAGATTCGTTGTTGTTCTTTCTCATTGCATACTACTCCAT